CCACAATACCTGCGGTCGTAATGCAAACAAAAAGAAACAACTCTGATGATGATGATGATATGCACTGCCCTTGAAGTTGATTGGTCCACACCCGAGACAGCTTTCCTTAGAGCCTAGTCTCACATGGTCCTTGAAGTTGATTGGTCCACACCCGAGACAGCTTTCCTTAGAGCCTAGTCTCACATGGTCCTTGAAGTTGATTGGTCCACACCCGAGACAGCTTTCCTTAGAGCCTAGTCTCACATGGTCCTTGAAGTTGATTGGCCCACACCCGAGACAGCTTTCCTTAGAGCCTAGTCTCACATGGTCCTTGAAGTTGATTGGTCCACACCCGAGACAGCTTTCCTTAGAGCCTAGTCTCACATGGTCCTTGAAGTTGATTGGTCCACACCCGAGACAGCTTTCCTTAGAGCCTAGTCTCACATGGTCCTTGAAGTTGATTGGTCCACACCCGAGACAGCTTTCCTTAGAGCCTAGTCTCACATGGTCCTTGAAGTTGATTGGTCCACACCCGAGACAGCTTTCCTTAGAGCCTAGTCTCACATGGTCCTTGAAGTTGATTGGTCCACACCCGAGACAGCTTTCCTTAGAGCCTAGTCTCACATGGTCCTTGAAGTTGATTGGTCCACACCCGAGACAGCTTTCCTTAGAGCCTAGTCTCACATGGTCCTTGAAGTTGATTGGTCCACACCCGAGACAGCTTTCCTTAGAGCCTAGTCTCACATGGTCCTTGAAGTTGATTGGTCCACACCCGAGACAGCTTTCCTTAGAGCCTAGTCTCACATGGTCCTTGAAGTTGATTGGTCCACACCCGAGACAGCTTTCCTTAGAGCCTAGTCTCACATGGTCCTTGAAGTTGATTGGTCCACACCCGAGACAGCTTTCCTTAGAGCCTAGTCTCACATGGTCCTTGAAGTTGATTGGTCCACACCCGAGACAGCTTTCCTTAGAGCCTAGTCTCACATGGTCCTTGAAGTTGATTGGTCCACACCCGAGACAGCTTTCCTTAGAGCCTAGTCTCACATGGTGTTGGACCAGATGACGCCAAAAGGCGCACAACTCAAAGACAACGCACCATCAGAGTATGAGAGCTCGGGGTGAAGCATTTACACCATTGGTACCTCATTTGCCAGAAGAAAATATGATAATTGTTTTTTTACCCTTCTATCTGGCAACAAAACTGACACCTTTTTAAAATCCTTTATATTAAGTTCACTTGCTTGCTTGCGCGCTTACGACCGTGCAAATCTTTCGGTCGTTTTTTAACCCACTTCCCGTGATCCAATCGAGCTGACATTTTGCGCACAGACTCGTTGTGCGTGACAATTAATTTTCGTGAAATTTTTTTTCCAAAATGTTACACTTTTTAGGAAAAAATTAATTATATTTAATTACCAATTGCTTAATGGTGGCAGGCAATCATCTGACCCATAGGTTGCAGCCATCTCAAGCCAGAGGACGAGAGGACTCTAGCCGCCACGCATATAAAGGATTTATAGTGAAAAACTTAGTTTTTACGGGTTAATTTTTTACAAGGAGTCATGTTTGCATAGACCACAATACCTGCAGTCATAATGCAAACAAAAAACACAACTCTGTATGCACTGTCCTTGAAGTTGATGTGTAACCACTACACTACCGCTCCCCACACACACACACACAGGTGTACACACACACACAGGTACACACACACACACAGGTACACACACACAGGTACACAAAGATAACAAAGATCCCCCATATAGCCTTAACAGACTGTAGGGGCAAGTGCTGCTAGCGAGCACCTATGAAGGCCGGAACGGTACACGAGGGGGTGGGTGGCCAGCGCCACGTCCGACCGCCTTTGTCTCCCTAGCGGCGATGTTTACACATCGCACTAGGTACTCATTTGAGGCTGAGTCGACCTAGGGGAGGCCCAGGACCGGTTGAGATAATCGTCACTGGTGTTTTCCGTGAGCGGGAATCGAACCCGGGTCGCCAGGTTCGCAGTGCAGCGCGCGAACCGCTACACTATCGCTCCCCACAAACACACACAGGTACACACACACAGTTACACACACAGGTACACACACAGGTACACAGGCACACACACAGGTACACACACACAGGTACACACACAGGTAGACACACAGGTACAAACACAGGTACACACACACAGGTACACACACAGGTACACACACAGGTACACAGGCACACACACAGGTACACACACACACACACTTACACACACACAGGTACACACACAGGTACAAACACACACAGGTACACACACAGGTACAAACACACACAGGTACACACACACAGGTACACACACAGGTACACAGGCACACACACAGGTACACACACACACAGGTACACACACACACACACTTACACACACACAGGTACACACACAGGTACAAACCACACAGGTACACACACACAGTTACACACACAGGTACACACACAGGTACACAGGCACACACACAGGTACACACACACACACTTACACACACAGGTACACACACAGGTACAAACACACACAGGTACACACACAGGTACACACACAGGTACACAGGCACACACACAGGGTACACACACACACACACTTACACACACACAGGTACACACACACAGGTACACACACAGGTACACACACACACAGACACACACAGGTACACACACAGGTACACACACAGTACACACACACACAGGTACACACAGTTACACACACACACAGGTACACACACACAGTTACACACACACACACACAGGTAAACACACAGGTACACACACACAGTTACACACACACACAGGTAAAACACACAGGTACACACACAGGTACACAGGCACACACACAGGTACACACCACACACACACTTACACACACACAGGTACACACACACAGGTACACACACAGGTACACACACACACACACAGACACACACAGGTACACACACACAGGTACACACACACACAGGTACACACACACAGTTACACACACATGTACAAACACACACAGGTACACACACACAGGTACACACACAGGTACACACACAGGTACACAGGCACACACACAGGTACACACACACACACTTACACACACACAGGTACACACACACAGGTACACACACAGGTACACACACACAGACACACACAGGTACACACACAGGTACACACACAGTTACACACACACAGGTACACACAGTTACACACACACACAGGAACACACACACAGGCACACACACAGGTACACACACACACACACTTACACACACACAGGTACACACACACAGGTACACACACAGGTACACACACAGACACACACACACACACTTACACACACACAGGTACACACACACAGGTACACACACAGGTACACACACACACACAGACACACACAGGTACACACACAGGTACACACAGTTACACACACACACAGGTACACACAGTTACACACACACACAGGAACACACACACAGTTACACACACACACACAGGTAAACACACAGGTACACACACACAGTTACACACACACACAGGTACACACACACACAGTTACACACACACAGGTACGCACACACACACAGGTGTGTGTGTGTGCGTGTGAGCTCTGCACTGTGGTGACTGCAGGGGCGTCGTGACCACACCACTTACACATCTTGACGTGTCCAGCATCACTGGCGAGGCATGGGGAGAGTGGGGAGGAGAAGGGGGGGTGGTGATGATGATGGTGGTGATGATGATGGTGATGGTGGTGGTGATGGTGAAAATGTTTATGATGTTGATGGTGGTCATGGTGGTGATGGTGGTATTGTTGTTCATGGTGGTGATGTTGTTGATGGTGGTGATGTTGGTGATGTTGATGATGTTGATGGTGGTGATGTTGATGGTGGTGATGTTGATGGTGGTGATGATGATGGTGGTGATGATGGTGGTGGTGGTGATGGTGAAAATGTTTATGATGTTGATGGTGGTCATGGTGGTGATGGTGGTATTGTTGTTCATGGTGGTGATGTTGTTGATGGTGGTGATGTTGGTGATGTTGATGATGTTGATGGTGGTGATGTTGATGGTGGTGATGTTGATGGTGGTGATGATGGTGATGATGTTGATGGTGGTGATGATGGTGATGATGTTGATGGTGGTGATGTTGATGTTGATGGTGATGATGGTGATGTTGGTGATGTTGATGTTGGTGATGTTGATGGTGATGTTGATGATGTTGGTGATGTTGATGGTGGTGATGATGTTGATGGTGGTGATTTTGATGTTGGTGATGTTGATGGTGGTGATGATGTTGATGGTGGTGATGTTGTTGATGTTGATGATGTTGATGGTGGGTGATGATGTTGATGATGTTGATGTTGATGATGTTGATGGTGGTGATGTTGATGATGATGTTGATGGTGGTGATGTTGTTGATGTTGATGTTGGTGATGTTGATGATGTTGATAGTGATGATGGTGATGTTGATGATGATGATGTTGATGATGTTTGATGATGTTGGTGATGTTGATGGTGGTGATATTGATGATGTTGATGATGGTGATGTTGATGGTGGTGATGTTGATGATGATGTTGATGGTGGTGATGTTGATGATGATGTTGATGATGTTATGATGTTGATGGTGGTGATGTTGATGATGATGTTGATGATGTTGATGGTGTTGATGGTGGTGATGTTGATGGTGATGTTGATGGTGGTGATGTTGATGATGTTGATGATGATGTTGATGGTGGTGATGTTGCTGATGATGTTGATGATGTGATGATGTTGATGGTGGTGATGTTGATGGTGATGTTGATGGTGGTGATGTTGATGATGATGTTGATGATGTTGATGGTGATGTTGTTGTTGATGATGTTGATGATGTTGATGGTGGTGATGTTGGTGATGTTGATGGTGTTGATGATGTTGTTGTTGATGATGTTGATGATGTTGATGATGTTGTTGTTGATGATGTTGATGATTTGATGGTGGTGGTGATGTTGATGATGATGGTGATGATGTTGATGATGTTGATGGTGGTGATGTTGATGGTGATGTTGATGGTGGTGATGTTGATGATGATGTTGATGATGTTGATGGTGATGTTGTTGTTGATGATGTGATGATGTTGATGGTGGTGATGTTGGTGATGTTGATGTTGATGGTGTTGATGATGTTGTTGTTGATGATGTTGATGATGTTGATGGTGGTGATGTTGATGATGTTGATGATGTTGATGGTGGTGGTGATGTTGATGGTGGTGATGTTGATGATGTTGATGATGTTGTTGTTGATGTTGATGATGTTGATGGTGGTGATGTTGATGATGTTGATGATGTTGATGGTGGTGGTGATGTTGATGGTGGTGATGTTGATGATGTTGATGATGTTGTTGTTGATGTTGATGATGTTGATGATGTTGATGATGTTGATGATGGTGATGTTGATGGTGGTGAGTTGATGATGATGTTGATGGTGGTGATGTTGATGATGATGTTGATGATGTTGATGGTGGTGATGTTGATGGTGATGTTGATGGTGGTGATGTTGATGATGTTGATGATGATGTTGATGGTGATGTTGTTGTTGATGATGTTGATGATGTTGATGGTGGTGATGTTGGTGATGTTGATGTTGATGGTGTTGATGATGTTGTTGTTGATGATGTTGATGATGTTGATGGTGGTGATGTTGATGATGTTGATGGTGGTGGTGATGTGATGATGTTGATGTTGGTGATGTTGATGATGATGATGGTGGTGATGTTGATGTTGGTGATGTTGATGTTGTTGATGATGTTGATGATGTTGATGATGTTGTTGTTGATGTTAATGATGTTGGTGGTGTTGATGTTGATGTTGAGTCACATCAGTAGCCAGAGGATGACGAAGGTCATGACACTGGAAGAGGCGAACTGGGCGGTTGAAGGTGTGAGGGACATGCAGATGGGGCAGTGGACACGTGTGTGTGTGTGTGTGTACACGTGTGTGTGTAGTGTGTGTGTGTGTGTGTGTAAGTGTGTGTGTGTAAGTGTGTGTGTGTAAGTGTGTGTGTGTGTGTACACGTGTGTGTGTGTAAGTGTGTGTGTGTACACGTGTGTGTGTGTAAGTGTGTGTGTGTACACGTGTGTGTGTGTACACGTGTGTGTGCGTGTGTACACGTGTGTGTGTGTAAGTGTGTGTGTGTAAGTGTGTGTGTGTGTGTACACGTGTGTGTGTGTAAGTGTGTGTGTGTACACGTGTGTGTGTGTAAGTGTGTGTGTGTACACGTGTGTGTGTGTACACGTGTGTGGTGCGTGTGTACACGTGTGTGTGTGTAAGTGTGTGTGTGTACACGTGTGTGTGTGTACACGTGTGTGTGTGTGTGTAAGTGTATGTGTAAGTGTGTGTGTGTAAGTGTTTGTGTGTAAGTGTGTGTGTGTAAGTGTGTGTGTGTAAGTGTGTGTGTGTACACGTGTGTGTGTGTACACGTGTGTGTGTGTATGTAAGTGTGTACACGTGTATGTGTGTACACGTGTGTGTGTGTGTGTAAGTGTGTGTGTGTGTGTAAGTGTGTGTGTGTGTACACGTGCGTGTGTGTGTGTGTAAGTGTGTGTGTGTGTACACGTGTGTGTGTGTGTGTGTACACGTGTGTGTGTGTGTACACGTGTGTGTGTGTAAGTGTGTGTGTGTGTGTACGTGTGTGAGTGTACATGTGTGTGTGTAAGTGTGTGTGTGTAGTGTGTGTGTAAGTGTGTGTGTGTAAGTGTGTGTGTGTAAGTGTGTGTGTGTACACGTGTGTGTGTGTGTACACGTGTGTGTGTGTGTATGTAAGTGTGTACACGTGTGTGTGTGTACACGTGTGTGTGTAAGTGTGTGTGTAAGTGTGTGTGTTGTGTAAGTGTGTGTGTGTGTAAGTGAGTGTGTGTGTGTACACGTGCGTGTGGTGTGTACACGTGTGTGTGTGTAAGTGTGTGTGTGTGCACGTGTGTGTGTGTGTGTACACGTGTGTGTGTGTACACGTGTGTGTGTGTAAGTGTGTGTGTGTGCACGTGTGTGTGTGTGTACACGTGTGTGTGTGTACACGTGTGTGTGTGTAAGTGTGTGTGTGTGTGTAAGTGTGTGAATGTACACGTGTGTGTGTAAGTGTGTGTGTGTAAGTGTGTGTGTGTACACGTGTGTGTGTGTAAGTGTGTGTGTAAGTGTGTGTGTGTAAGTGTGTGTGTGTGTGTACACGTGTGTGTGTGTAAGTGTGTGTGTGTTGTGTACACGTGTGTGTGTGTAAGTGTGTGTGTGTAAGTGTGTGAGTGTACACGTGTGTGTGTAAGTGTGTGTGTGTAAGTGTGTGTGTAAGTGTGTGTGTGTGTAAGTGTGTGTGTGTGTACACGTGTGTGTGTGTAAGTGTGGTGTGTGTAAGTGTGTGTGTGTAAGTGTACACGTGTGTGTAAGTGTGTGTGTGTGTAAGTGTGTGTGTGTACACGTGTGTGTGTGTAAGTGTGTGTGTGTATGTATGTGTAAGTGTGTGTGTGTGTACACGTGTGTGTGTGTAAGTGTGTGTGTAAGTGTGTGTGTGTGTATGTTCACGTGTGTGTGTGTGTAAGTGTGTTTGTGTGTAAGTGTGTGTGTAAGTGTGTGTGTTGTAAGTTTGTGTGTAAGTGTACACGTGTGTGTGTGTAAGTGTGTGTGTGTGTGTACACGTGTGTGTGTGTAAGTGTGTGTGTAAGTGTGTGTGTGTGTACACGTGTGTGTGTGTGTGTGTACACGTGTGTGTGTGTACACGTGTGTGTGTGTAAGTGTGTGTGTGTGTGTAAGTGTGTGAGTGTACACGTGTGTGTGTAAGTGTGTGTGTGTAAGTGTGTGTGTAAGTGTGTGTGTGTACACGTGTGTGTGGTGTGTACACGTGTGTGTGTAAGTGTGTGTAAGTGTGTGTGTGTAAGTGTGTGTGTGTGTGTGTACACGTGTGTGTGTAAGTGTGTGTGTGTACACGTGTGTGTGTGTAAGTGTGTGTGTGTACACGTGTGTGTGTGTATGTTCACGTGTGTGTGTGTGTACACGTGTGTGTGTGTGTACACGTGTGTGTGTACACGTGTGTGTGTGTGTATGTTCACGTGTGTGTGTGTGTAAGTGTGTGTGTAAGTGTGTGTGTAAGTGTGTGTGTGTAAGTGTGTGTGTGTACACGTGTGTGTGTGTGTGTAAGTGTGTGTGTGTGTACACGTGTGTGTGTAAGTGTGTGTGTGTACACGTGTGTGTGTAAGTGTGTGTACACGTGTGTGTGTAAGTGTGTGTGTACACGTGTGTGGTGTGTACACGTGTGTGTGTGTGTGTAAGTGTGTGTGTGTAAGTGTGTGTGTACACGTGTGTGTGTAAGTGTGTAAGTGTGTGTGTGTACACGTGTGTGTGTGTGTAAGTGTGTGTGTGTGTACACGTGTGTGTGTGTACACGTGTGTGTGTGTATAAGTGCGTGTGTAAGTGTGTGTGTGTAAGTGTGTGTGTACACGTGTGTGTGTAAGTGTACACGTGTGTGTGTACACGTGTGTGTGTGTACACGTGTGTGTGTGTAAGTGTGTGTGTGTGTACACGTGTGTGTAAGTGTGTGTGTGTACACGTGTGTGTGTGTATGTTCACGTGTGTGTGTGTAAGTGTGCGTGTGTGTGTACACGTGTGTGTGTGTGTAAGTGTGTGTGTAAGTGTGTGTGTGTAAGTGTGTGTGTAAGTGTGTGTGTGTGTAAGTGTGTGTGTATGTACACGTGTGTGTGTACACGTGCGTGCGTGTGTGTGTACACGTGTGTGTAAGTGTGTGTGTACACGTGTGTGTGTACACGTGTGTGTGTGTGTAAGTGTACATGTGTGTGTGTAAGTGTGTGTGTGTGTAAGTGTGTGTGTGTGTAAGGGTGTGTGTGTACACGGTGTGTGTGTGTACACGTGTGTGTGTGTGTAAGTGTGTGTGTAAGTGTGTGTGTGTACACGTGTGTGTGTGTACACGTGTGTGTGTGTGTACACGTGTGTGTGTGTACACGTGTGTGTGTGTAAGTGTGTGTGTGTACACGTGTGTGTGTAAGTGTGTGTGTAAGTGTGTGTGTGTAAGTGTGTGTGTGTGTATGTTCACGTGTGTGTGTGTGTACACGTGTGGTGTACAAGTGTGTGTGTGTGTACACGTGTGTGTGTGTGTAAGTGTGTGTGTGTACACGGTGTGTGTGTGTATGTTCACGTGTGTGTGTGTAAGTGTGTGTGTAAGTGTGCGTGTGTGTGTATGTTCACGTGTGTGTGTGTACACGTGTGTGTAAGTGTGTGTGTAAGTGTGTGTAAGTGTGTGTACGTGTGTGTGTGTACACGTGTGTGTGTGTACACGTGTGTGTGTAAGTGTGTGTGTACACGTGTGTGTGTGTAAGTGTGTGTGTGTGTAAGTGTGTGTGTAAGTGTGTGTGTGTACACGGGTGTGTGTGTGTGTAAGTGTGTGTGTAAGTGTGTGTGTGTAAGTGTGTGTGTACACGTGCGTGTGTGTGTGTACACGTGTGTGTGTGTACACGTGTGTGTAAGTGTGTGTACACGTGTGTGTAAGCGCGTGTGTAAGTGTAAGTGTGTGTGTTTACACGTGTGTGTGTGTGTACACGTGTGTGTGTAAGTGTGTACCCGTGTGTGTAAGTGTAAGTGTGTGTACACGTGTGTAAGTGTGTGTGTAAGTGTGTGTGTATGTGCGTGTGTATGCATATTGGTGTGTGTGTGTGTAAGTGTGCGCATTATATATTGGTGTGTGTAAGTGTGTGTATATTGGTGTGTGTATGTATATTGGTGTGTGTGTATGTATATTGGTGTGTGTGTGTATGTATATAGGTGTGTGTGTGAGTGTGTGTGTATATTGGTGTGTGTGTGTGTACACATGTGTGTGAGGTTTTTGTGAGTGTGCCTGTACGTGTGTGTGTAAACATGTGTGTGTGTGTACACGTGAGTGTGTGTGTGTGTACGTGTGTGTATACGTGTGTGTGTAGATGTGAGTGTGTGTGTGTCTAACACAGCGGATTGTTGACCAATAACAACATCGCCGTGGTGTGAACATGAAACCATGGGAGACACTTGGAGATGCAGGGAGAGATGCAGGGAGAGATGCAGGGAGTGAGACAGGAAGATGCAGGGAGAGACCGGGAGAAAGACAGGAAAATGTGAACCTTTATAGCAGCAAGAGTTGAAGTCTCCAAATGCAACACAGCCATCATGAACCCCCTGAGAGAGAGACACCCAGACCCAGTGTTGAACCCAGACTCTCAGTGTCTCTGACACGGCCATCATGAACCCCCTGAGAGAGAGACACCCAGACCCAGTGTTGAACCCAGACTCTCAGTGTCTCTGACACGGCCATCATGAACCCCCTGAGAGAGACACCCAGACCCAGTGTTGAACCCAGACTCTCAGTGTCTCTGACACGGCCATCGTGAACCCCCTGAGAGAGAGAGAGACACCCAGACCCAGTGTTAAACCCAGGCTCTCAGTGTCTCTGACACGGCCATCATGAACCCCCTGAGAGAGAGAGACACCCAGACCCAGTGTTGAACCCAGACTCTCAGTGTCTCTGACACGGCCATCGTGAACCCCCTGAGAGAGAGAGAGACACCCAGACCCAGTGTTGAACCCAGACTCTCAGTGTCTCTGACACGGCCATCGTGAACCCCCTGAGAGAGAGAGAGCACCCAGACCCAGTGTTGAACCCAGGCTCTCAGTGTCTCTGACACGGCCATTATGAACCCCCTGAGAGAGACACCCAGACCCAGTGTTGAACCCAGGCTCTCAGTGTCTCTGACACGGCCATCGTGAACCCCCTGAGAGAGACACCCAGACCCAGTGTTGAACCCAGGCTCTCAGTGTCTCTGACACGGCCATTATGAACCCCCTGAGAGAGACACCCAGACCCAGTGTTGAACCCAGGCTCTCAGTGTCTCTGACACGGCCATCGTGAACCCCCTGAGAGAGACACCCAGACCCAGTGTTGAACCCAGGCTCTCAGTGTCTCTGACACGGTCATCGTGAACCCCTTGAGAGAGACAGAGACACCCAGACCCAGTGTTGAACCCAGGCTCTCAGTGTCTCTGACACGGTCATCGTGAACCCCCTGAGAGAGACCACCCAGACCCAGTGTTGAACCAGGTTCTCAGTGTCTCTGACACGGCCATTATGAACCCCCTGAGAGAGACACCCAGACCCAGTGTTGAACCCAGGCTCTCAGTGTCTCTGACACGGCCATCGTGAACCCCCTGAGAGAGAGACACCCAGACCCAGTGTTGAACCCAGGCTCTCAGTGTCTCTGACACGGCCATCGTGAACCCCCTGAGAGAGAGAGACACCCAGACCCAGTGTTGAACCCAGACTCTCAGTGTCTCTGACACGGCCATCGTGAACCCCCTGAGAGAGAGACACCCAGACCCAGTGTTGAACCCAGACTCTCAGTGTCTCTGACACGGCCATCGTGAACCCCCTGAGAGAGAGAGAGACACCCAGACCCAGTGTTGAACCCAGGCTCTCAGTGTCTCTGACACGGCCATCGTGAACCCCCTGAGAGAGAGACACCCAGACCCAGTGTTGAACCCAGGCTCTCAGTGTCTCTGACACGGCCATCGTGAACCCCCTGAGAGAGAGACACCCAGACCCAGTGTTGAACCCAGGCTCTCAGTGTCTCTGACACGGCCATCGTGAACCCCCTGAGAGAGACACCCAGACCCAGTGTTGAACCCAGGCTCTCAGTGTCTCTGACACGGTCATCGTGAACCCCCTGAGAGAGACAGAGACACCCAGACCCAGTGTTGAACCCAGGCTCTCAGTGTCTCTGACACGGTCATCGTGAACCCCCTGAGAGAGACACCCAGACCCAGTGTTGAACCCAGGTTCTCAGTGTCTCTGACACGGCCATTATGAACCCCCTGAGAGAGACACCCAGACCCAGTGTTGAACCCAGGCTCTCAGTGTCTCTGACACGGCCATCGTGAACCCCCTGAGAGAGACACCCAGACCCAGTGTTGAACCCAGGCTCTCAGTGTCTCTGACACGGCCATCGTGAATCCCCCTGAGAGAGACAGAGACACCCAGACCCGGTGTTGAACCCAGGCTCTCAGTGTCTCTGACACGGCCATCGTGAACCCCCTGAGAGAGACAGAGACACCCAGACCCAGTGTTGAACCCAGGCTCTCAGTGTCTCTGACACGGCCATCGTGAACCCCCTGAGAGAGACAGAGACACCCAGACCCAGTGTTGAACCCAGGCTCTCAGTGTCTCTGACGCGGCCATCGTGAACCCCCTGAGAGAGAGAGACACCCAGACCCAGTGTTGAACCCAGGCTGTCAGTGTCTCTGACACGGCCATTGTGAACCCCCTGAGAGAGACACCCAGACCCGGTGTTGAACCCAGGCTGTCAGTGTCTTTGACACGGCCATTGTGAACCCCCTGAGAGAGACACCCAGACCCGGTGTTGAACCCAGGCTCTCAGTGTCTCTGACACGGCCATTACGAATCTCCAAAATCTAATTCAGACTGCATTATCACCATCATATTAATCAGCGTTACATCATTAGCATCACCATCATCATCAACAATGTAATCATCACCACCACCATGACAATCAACAACAACAACAACCACCATTCGCCACTAAGTGGCGGTGACATCACCACGACGCTTGTGCCAGGCTATGTGCACCTTGAGGCCACGTGAAGTGTCGAACGCACGCTGGCAGGAGGTCACGGGGCAGACCCAGGTGCCACGGGTCGACTGACTGAGATGACTGGCTGATGCACCACCTGTGCCCCCTACTGTGCCAACTTGCTGTGCTTTAGCCACCCGGCGCTCCGCTCGTTGTTGTGAGCGTCGCTCCTCCACCCTCCGTTGTTGTTGGAGGGCGACTGCCTTCAACTGCCCAGTAGCGTCCTTCACGAGCCTCCTCCATAGAGGCCGATCTTGACACCGCTGGTACCGGTCATCGGCAAGTCCACTCAGCTCCACGTCCTCCTGTACCACATCACTCCATCTCTTCTCTAGCCCGTGCCGCGCCCGTTTAGCCCCCTCGATCCGGCCGAACAAAAGCTGTTTAGGCATGCGGTGGCTGGGCATGTGGGCTACATGACCCAGCCAACGTAGCCTTGCCTGCCGGAGGAGCTCACCGATGGGACTTTGCCCAGATCTTTTAAAGATTTGTGAGCTCCTCACACAATCCAGCCTGGCTAAACCCAGGATGAATCGTAGGCAGGCCAGCCTAAATGTTTCCCATCGGCGAAGATGCTCCATTAGGGGGGTCCAAGTTTTGCAAGCGTAGAGAAGGGAGGAAATGACCGTGGCCGAGAAGACTTGAAGCTTCGTGTGGAGCGACAGACCAGGCAGCTTCCACACAGCGTTACGCAACCGATGAAAAGATAATGCCGCTCGACTGATTCTGAGTGAGACCTCTGCTGTCAAACGGGAGCTGGTCATGAGCACACTGCCTAGGTATGGGAAACTCTCCACTCTCTCCACTACTGCCCCATCACCGATTGTGAGTTATGGGAGTGGAGTGTCCAATGGTACAAAATATCCAGTCAGGTGCTTAGTTTTGATGGGGCTGATGGTAAGGCCCCACCTCTTAGTGGCAAGCTCCAGTTTCAGCAGCAGCAGCGCCTCCAACTCCTCCTCTGAGTGAGCGGCAATTACCAGATCATCGGCATACATAACGTGGTTAACCAATAGGTAGCCATCGCTTGACCGCACCCGGGCATCGATCAGCCTACCATTGTATCTGTACCAGATGGAAATTCCTCTGGCACAGCAATCAAAGGCTTCATGAACTACGTGGTCGAAAAATATGTTAAATAATGTTGGAGCCAGAGGACAACCCTGTCGCACCCCAAAGTGAACAGGGAATGGCACCTATTCCCAGCCACGTAGTTTTACCCGGGCCCGCTCACCATCATGAAGGTCCTTAATGATCGTGTGCAGAGGGTCAGGGACTCCGAAAGCACGAAGAACAGACCAGAGCCCAGGCCTACTGATGGCATCATGCCTAGCAAGGCGATGTTGAATAATCCTTGCCAGGACCTTTCCCGGCACACTGAGGAGTGAGATGCCACTGGAGTTGTTGCAGTCTGTGCGGTCCCCCTTCTTAAAGAGGGGGACCACCAGGGCATTCTTCCAATCCTACCGAACCCGTCCAATGGTTCCCCCGGGGCCTCCGGCACAAGCTTATTAATTAAAATTTTTATTCATGGTTTAGTGGTAATTAATTGAAGGTGGAGGGGTTACCAGCCCCTCGCACCCGTCCAGAGCCCCCGTTTGGCCGCTGTGGTGGTCACAAACGCCATGAGGTGAAAGGCCAATCGGAATTGGCCCTCCCCCCCACAGCACTGTCCATGACAATCACCACAACCACCATCATCATCAACACCATCACCACCACCATCATCACCATCACCACCATCACCACCATCACCACCATCACCACCACCATCACCACCACCACCATCATCATCACCACCACCACCACCATCACCACCACCACCACCACCACCATCACCACCATCACCACCACCATCACCACCACCATCACCACCATCACCACCACCACCACCACCATCATCACCACCATCACCACCACCACCATCATCACCACCATCACCACCATCACCATCACCACCACCACCACCATCACCACCACCACCATCATCACCACCACCATCACCACCATCACCATCATCACCACCACCACCACCACCATCACCACCACCATCACCACCACCACCACCACCACCATCACCACCATCACCACCACCACCATCACCACCATCACCACCACCATCACCACCACCACCATCACCACCATCATCACCACCACCATCATCACCATCATCACCACCACCATCACCACCATCACCATCATCACCACCACCACCACCACCACCATCACCACCACCACCACCACCATCACCACCACCATCATCACCACCACCATCACCACCATCACCATCATCACCATCATCACCACCACCATCACCACCATCACCACCACCACCACCACCATCACCACCACCACCACCACCATCACCACCACCACCACCACCATCACCACCACCACCACCACCACCATCACCACCATCACCATCACCACCATCACCACCACCATCACCACCACCATCACCACCACCATCACCACCACCATCACCATCACCACCATCACCACCACCACCACCACCATCACCACCACCACCACCATCACCACATCACCATCACCACCATCACCACCACCATCACCACCACCATCACCATCACCACCATCACCACCATCATCACCACCACCATCATCATCACCTGCCAGGCTTCGAGCTCCTGACTGAGATCAACCTTCTGCTGAATGGCGTCCAGCAGCTGAGAGTTGAGTGCCATGACATCGATCTTACAGACGGCCAACTCCATCTCGACCGCACTCCTCCTGGGGGGGGGGGTGGGGCACGGGGGGTGGGGCACGGGGGGTGGGACACGGGGGGTGGGACACGGGGGGTGGGACACGGGGGGGTGGGACACGAGGGAGGGACACGGGGGGGGAGAGACAGAGGGAGACACGGAGTGCCATGAGGGTCGATCTTACAGACGGCCAACTCCATCTCTACCGCACCTCCTCCTAGGGGGGGGGGGGGGGTGGGACACGGGGGGTGGGACACGGGGGGTGGGACACGGGGGGTGGGACACGGGGGTGGGACACGGGGGGGTAGGACACGAGGGAGGGACACGGGGGTGGGAGAGACAGAGAAAGACACGGAGTGCCATGAGGTCGATCTTACAGATGGCCAACTCCATCTCTACCGCACCTCCTCCTGGGGGGGGGACACGGGGGGTGGGGGGGGGGACACGGGGGTGGGACACGGGGGGTGGGACACGGGGGTGGGACACGAGGGAGGGACACGGGGGGGGAGAGACAGAGGGAGACACGGAGTGCCATGAGGTCGATCTTACAGATGGCCAACTCCATCTCTACCGCACCTCCTCCTGGGGGGGGGGACACGGGGGGTGGGGGGGGGACACGGGGGTGGGACACGGGGGGTGGGACACGGGGGTGGGACACGAGGGAGGGACACGGGGGGGGGAGACAGAGGGAGACACGGAGGGCTATGACGTTGATCTTACAGACGGTCAACTCCATCTCTACCGCACCTCCTCCTGGGGGGTGGGACACGGGGGGTGGGGACACGGGGGGTGGAGGGGTGGGACACGGGGGGTGGAGGGGTGGGACACGGGGGGTGGGACACGGGGGGTGGGACACGGGGGGTGGGACACGAGGGAGGGACACGGGGGGGGAGAGACAGAGGGAGACACGGAGTGCCATGAGGTCGATCTTACAGACGGCCAACTCCATCTCTACCGCACCTCCTCCTAGGGGGGGGGGGGGGGTGGGACACGGGGGGTGGGACACGGGGGGTGGGACACGGGGGGTGGGACACGGGGGGTGGGACACGGGGGGGTAGGACACGAGGGAGGGACACGGGGGGTGGGAGAGACAGAGAAAGACACGGAGTGCCATGAGGTCGATCTTACAGATGGCCAACTCCATCTCTACCGCACCTCCTCCTGGGGGGTGGGACACGGGGGGTGGGACACGGGGGGTGGAGGGGTGGGACACGGGGGGTGGAGGGGTGGGACACGGGGGGTGGGACACGGGGGGTGGGACACGGGGGGTGGGACACGAGGGAGGGACACGGGGGGGGAGAGACAGAGGGAGACACGGAGTGCCATGAGGTCGATCTTACAGACGGCCAACTCCATCTCTACCGCACCTCCTCCTAGGGGGTGGGACACGGGGGGTGGGGACACGGGGGGTGGGACACAGGGGGTGGGACACGGGGGGTGGGACACGGGGGGTGGGACACGGGGTGGGGGGGGTGGGACACAGGGGGTGGGACACAGGGGGTGGGACACGGGGGGTGGGACACGGGGGGTGGGACACGGGGGGTGGGACACGGGGTGGGGGGGGGTGGGACACAGGGGGTGGGACACGGGGGGTGGGACACGGGGGGTGGGACACGGGGGGTGGACACGGGGGGTGGGACACAGGGGGTGGGAGTGGGACACGGGGGGGGGAGGTGGGACAAGGGGGGGGGGGGGCAGGGGGGAGGGGGTGGGACACGGGGTGATGACAGTGACGATGACGGTGATGATGATGGTGATTATGATGGTGATGCTGATAGTGATGATGATAGTGATGATGATGGTGATGGTGGTGATGATGGTGATGATGATGATGGTGATGATGATAGTGATGATGGTGATGATGATGATAGTGATGATGATGATGGTGATGATATAGTGATGATGGTGATGATGATGATGGTGATGATGATAGTGATGATGGTGATGATGATGATGGTGATGATGATGGTGATGATGATAGTGATGATGATAGTGATGATGATGATGGTGATGATAGTGATGATGATGGTGATTATGATGGTGATGATGATAGTGATGATGATAGTGATGATGATGGTGATGGTGGTGATGATGGTGATGATGATGATGATAGTGATGATGATGGTGATGATGATAGTGATGATGATAGTGATGATGATGGTGATGATGATAGTGATGATGATAGTGATGATGGTGATGGTGATGATGATGGTGGTGATGATGGTGGTGATGATGATGGTGATGATGATGGTGATGATGATAGTGATGATGATAGTGATGATGATGGTGATGGTGGTGATGATGGTGATGATGATGATGGTGATGATGATAGTGATGATGGTGATGATGATGATGGTGATGATGATGATGATAGTGATGATGATAGTGATGATGATGATGGTGATGATGATAGTGATGATGGTGATGATGATGATGGTGATGATGATAGTGATGATGGTGATGATGATGATGGTGATGATGATGGTGATGATGATAGTGATGATGATAGTGATGATGATGATGGTGATGATAGTGATGATGATGGTGATTATGATGGTGATGATGATAGTGATGATGATAGTGATGATGATGGTGATGGTGGTGATGATGGTGATGATGATGATGATAGTGATGATGATGGTGATGATGATAGTGATGATGATAGTGATGATGATGGTGATGATGATAGTGATGATGATAGTGATGATGGTGATGGTGATGATGATGGTGGTGATGATGGTGGTGATGATGATGGTGATGATGATGGTGATGATGATAGTGATGATGATGATGGTGATGATGATGATGGTGGTGATGATGGTGATGATGATAGTGATGATGATGATGGTGATGATGGTGGTGATGATGGTGATAATGATGGTGGTGATGGTGATGATGGTGGTGATGGTGATGATGGTGGTGATGATGATGATAATGATGATGATGGTGATGATGGTGATGATGGTAATGACGACGACGATGATGATGTTCTTACTTGTTGATGGCGTCGTCTCTTTCTTGCAGCGCCCTCCTCAGAGCCTCCTCCACATCCACCTCCTCGCTCCCCCCCTCTCCTCCTCCCCCTCCTCCTCCTCCCCGCGTCCACCTCCTCCTCCTCCACCTCCTCCTCCTCCTCGCCTCTCCATCTCATCACCTCTGCTTGGAGCCGCTCCTTTTCCTCCCGCGCTGAGGCCAACTGCAGTGAGCAGACCGCCAGCTGTGTACACGGTGGGCGAGATGTTAACTACCTCGCCTGGTACACAGGAGGTCGTGGGTTCTGTGAGATGTTGACCACCTCGCCTGGTACGCAGGAGGTCGTGGGTTCAATCCTGACCCTGACGATGCCTGCTGCTGTATGTTTAGGAGATGTTGACTACCTCGCCTGGTACGCATGAGGTCGTGGGATCAACCCCAATCCTGTTGTGTACACGGTGGCTAGGAGATCTTAACTACCTCGCCTGGTACGCAGGAGGTCGTGGGTTCTGTGAGATGTTGACTACCTCGTCTGGTATGCAGGAGGTCGTGGGTTCTGTGAGATGTTGACCACCTCGCCTGGTACGCAGGAGGTCGTGGGTTCTGTGAGATGTTGACTACCTCGCCTGGTACGCAGGAGGTCGTGGGTTCTGTGAGATGTTGACTACCTCGCCTGGTACGCAGGAGGTCGTGGGTTCTGTGAGATGTTGACTACCTCACCTGGTACGCAGGAGGTCGTGGGTTCTGTGAGATGTTGACCACCTCGCCTGGTACGCAGGAGGTCGTGGGTTCTGTGAGATGTTGACCACCTCGCCTGGTACGCAGGAGGTCGTGGGTTCTGTGAGATGTTGACTACCTCGCCTGGTACGCAGGAGGTCGTGGGTTCTGTGAGATGTTAACTACCTCGCCTGGTACGCAGGAGGTCGTGGGTTCTGTGAGATGTTGACCACCTCGCCTGGTACGCAGGAGGTCGTGGGTTCTGTGAGATGTTAACTACCTCGCCTGGTACGCAGGAGGTCGTGGGTTCTGTGAGATGTTGACTACCTCGCCTGGTACGCAGGAGGTCGTGGGTTCTGTGAGATGTTGACTACCTCGCCTGGTACGCAGGAGGTCGTGGGTTCTGTGAGATGTTGACTACCTCGCCTGGTACGCAGGAGGTCGTGGGTTCTGTGAGATGTTGACTACCTCGCCTGGTACGCAGGAGGTCGTGGGTTCTGTGAGATGTTGACTACCTCGCCTGGTACGCAGGAGGTCGTGGGTTCTGTGAGATGTTGACTACCTCGCCTGGTACGCAGGAGGTCGTGGGTTCTGTGAGATGTTAACTACCTCGCCTGGTACGCAGGAGGTCGTGGGTTCAATCCTGACCCTGACGATGCCTGCTGCTGTATGTTTAGGAGATGTTGACTACCTCGCCTGGTACGCATGAGGTCGTGGGTTCAACCCCAATCCTGTTGTGTACACGGTGGCTAGGAGATCTTAACTACCTCGCCTGGTACGCAGGAGGTCGTGGGTTCTGTGAGATGTTGACTACCTCGCCTGGTACGCAGGAGGTCGTGGGGTTCTGGGAGATGTTGACTACCTCGCCTGGTACGCAGGAGGTCGTGGCTGTGATATGTTGACTACCTCGCCTGGTACGCAGGAGGTCGTGGGTCTGTGAGATGTTGACTACCTCGCCTGGTACGCAGGAGGTCGTGGGTTCTGTGAGATGTTGACTACCTCGCCTGGTACGCAGGAGGTCGTGGGTTCTGTGAGATGTTAACTACCTCGCTTGGTACGCAGGAGGTCGTGGGTTCTGTGATATGTTGACTACCTCGCCTGGTACGCAGGAGGTCGTGGGTTCTGTGATATGTTGAACTACCTCGCCTGGTACGCAGGAGGTCGTGGGTTTCTCTACTACCCCTGTGAGATGTTGACTACCTCGCCTGGTACGCAGGAGGTCGTGGGTTCTGTGAGATGTTGACTACCTCGTCTGGTACGCAGGAGGTCGTGGGTTCTGTGAGATGTTGACCACCTCGCCTGGTACGCAGGAGGTCGTGGGTTCTGTGAGATGTTGACCACCTCGCCTGGTACGCAGGAGGTCGTGGGTTCTGTGAGATGTTGACTACCTCGCCTGGTACGCAGGAGGTCGTGGGTTCTGTGAGATGTTAACTACCTCGCCTGGTACGCAGGAGGTCGTGGGTTCTGTGAGATGTTAACTACCTCGCCTGGTACGCAGGAGGTCGTGGCTGTGAGATGTTGACTACCTCGCCTGGTACGCAGGAGGTCGTGGCTATGAGATGTTGCCTACCTCGCCTGGTACGCAGGAGGTCGTGGCTGTGAGATGTTGACTACCTCGCCTGGTACGCAGGAGGTCGTGGGTTCTGTGAGATGTTGACTACCTCGCCTGGTACGCAGGAGGTCGTGGGTTCTGTGAGATGTTGACTACCTCGCCTGGTACGCAGGAGGTCGTGGGTTCTGTGAGATGTTAACTACCTCGCCTGGTACACAGGAGGTCGTGGGTTCTGTGAGATGTTGACTACCTCGCCTGGTACGCAGGAGGTCGTGGGTTCTGTGAGATGTTAACTACCTCGCCTGGTACGCAGGAGGTCGTGGGTTCTGTGAGATGTTAACTACCTCGCCTGGTACGCAGGAGGTCGTGGGTTCTGTGAGATGTTGACTACCTCGCCTGGTACGCAGGAGGTCGTGGGTTCTGTGAGATGTTGACTACCTCGCCTGGTACGCAGGAGGTCGTGGGTTCTGTGAGATGTTAACTACCTCGCCTGGTACGCAGGAGGTCGTGGGTTCTGTGAGATGTTAACTACCTCGCCTGGTACGCAGGAGGTCGTGGGTTCTGTGAGATGTTGACTACCTCGCCTGGTACGCAGGAGGTCGTGGGTTCTGTGAGATGTTAACTACCTCGCCTGGTACACAGGAGGTCGTGGGTTCTGTGAGATGTTGACTACCTCGCCTGGTACGCAGGAGGTCGTGGGTTCTGTGAGATGTTGACTACCTCGCCTGGTACGCAGGAGGTCGTGGGTTCTGTGAGATGTTAACTACCTCGCGTTGTACGCAGGAGGTCGTGGGTTCAATCCTGACCCTGACGATGTCTGCTGCTATATGTTTAGAGCCAGGAGATGTTAACTACCTCGCCTGGTGCACAGGAGTGCCCGGGTCCCCGTGTCTCAGCGTCTCCGTGTCTCAGTGTCTCTGTCTCCGTGTCTCCAGCGTCTTCGTGTCTCACCTCTCCCCTGAGTGCCCGTGTCTCCGTGTCCCCGTGTCTCAGTGTCCCCGTGTCTCAGTGTCTCAGCCTGTGTCTCAGTGTCCCCGTGTCTCTGTCTGTGTCCCCGTGTCTCACCTCTCCCCTGAGTGCCCGTGTCTCCGTGTCTCCGTGTCTCAGTGTCCCCGTGTCTCTGTCTGTGTCTCCGTGTCCCCGTGTCTCTGTGTCTGTGTCCCCGTGTCTCACCTCTCCCCTGAGTGCCCGTGTCTCCGTGTCTCCCTGTCTCAGTGTCTCCGCCTGTGTCTCCAGCGTCTCCCGCGTGGCCGAGAGGCTGAGAGTCAAACGGGAGACTCGCTGCTCCAGGGCGCAGCGCTGTTGCCTGCAGCGCCGCAGCTGAAACACGCGGAGACAGAGACACACGGGGACACACAGAGACACACGGTGAGACACACGGTGAGACACACGGTGAGACACGCAGAGACACACGGTGAGACAGAGACAGACGGTGAGACACACGGTGAGACACGCGGAGACACACGGTGAGACACACGGTGAGACACACAGAGACACACGGTGAGACAGAGACACACAGAGACACGCAGAGACACAGAGAGACACAGAGACACGCGGAGACACACGGTGAGACACACAGAGACACACGGTGAGACAGAGACACACAGAGACACGCAGAGACACAGAGAGACACAGAGACACAGAGACACACGGTGAGACACACGGAGACACACAGAGATACACGGTGAGACAGAGACACACGGTGAGACAGAGACACAGAGACACGCGAGGAGACAGAGACACGCGGGGAGACACAGAGACACACGAAGACACACGGTGAAACAGAGACACACGGTGAGACAGAAACACACAGAGACACACAGAGACACGCGGTGAGACAGAGACACACAGAGACACACAGAGACACACGGTGAGACAGAGACACACGGAGACACACAGAGATACAGAGACACACGGTGACACACAGAGACACACAGTGACACACGGTGAGACAGAGACACACACAGAGACACACAGAGACAGACAGAGACACACGGTTACACACAAAGACAGACAGAGACACAGAGACACACGGTGACACAGAGACACACAGAGACACACAGAGACAGACAGAGACACAGAGACACACAGTGACACAGAGACACACAGAGACACACAGAGACAGACAGAGATACAGAGACACACAGAGACAGACAGAGACACAGAGACACACGGTGACGCACAGAGACACACAGACACACACGGTGACACACAGAGACACAGAGACACGCGGTGACACAGAGACACACAGAGACACACAGAGACACACGGTGACACACAGAGACACAGACACACAGAGACACGCGGTGAAACAGTGACACACAGAGATACACAGAGACACCCAGAGACACACAGAGACACGCGGTGACACAGAGACACACAGAGACACACAGAGACACACGGCGACACACGGTGACACAGAGACACACAGAGACGCACGGTGACACACGGTGACACACAGAGACACACGGTAACACAGAGACACACAGAGACACACGGTGACACAGAGACACACAGAGACACATGGTGAGACACACGGTGACACAGAGACACACAGAGACACACAGAGACACACGGTGACACAGAGACACACAGAGACACATGGAAACACACAGAGACACACAGAGACACACGGTGAGACAGAGACACACGGTGAGACACACAGAGACACAGAGACACGGAGACACACAGAGACACACAGGGAGACAGAGACACAGAGACACACGGGGAGACAGAGACACACAGAGACACACCCAGAGACACACGGTGACACAGAAACACACGAAGACACGGCGGGGATGGGGGAGGGATCG